TCCCCTACATCCCAGGGGAGACAGGCATTTGCCCTCCTCGCTTGGCAAGGATCCTGGCAGCGCTCAGCCCACCCCACGGCTCTCCTTCTTCCCAGGCCCCGATGCTGACCCTGCCCTTTGGAATTTCCCTCCGGCTCCTTTCCAAATCCCAGCAGCCCCCTTTCAGGCCTCCCGACATCCTTTGCTGCCCCCCTCCCAAGATCCTGATGGGTCCCTGTTTCCTTGGGGAGCCAGCACCCTGCCCCCCAACCCCTGGGGTCCCAGGACTCCCATCCGCAGCCTGAGGCCTCCAGAGGGCCGGACACTCACAGCGACAGCAGGGTTGGGGAGAAGCTCTCGGGCAGGTCCGGGGAGCCCTCACACAGGGCACTGTCTTTAGAGCAGGAGCAACTCAGAGGACACTTTCCCTTTGGGGGTCTCCAGGCCCCCCCCACACCCACCCCAGCCAGCAGCAGCAGCAGAATTCCTGCCCCTCCCATGCCCCCTGACCTCCACCGAGGCACCGGCTTCTCTCTGCCCACCCAGCTTGGCCCAGGTCGCGGCCACTACATCTCCCATGCCAGGTGACCCTCCATGCCGCCCGCTGGCACGCTCTGCCCTGGCTTCTCTCTCCTCTTTCTTGGTCTCTCCTCAGTCTGCTTTGCTTCCTGTATCTCTTTAGTGTCTAATTTTCTGTTTATTTCTCTTTCCCTGTCTTTCTGTCTCTCTCCCTTTTTATACTTCTGACTCCGTGAGTTAGTCTGCTTCCCACTCTCTATCTCTGTCTCTCTATTTCTATCTGAATTGTCTCTCTGTCTCTGTTTCTCTTTTTCTCTGTCTCCTTCTGTCTGTTGGTCTCTCTTTGTGTGTGTGTGTGTGTGTGTGTGTGTGTGTGTGTGTGTGTGTGTGTGTGTGTCTCCCTCTGTCTGGTGTCTTTATTTCTGTCTCCCTACCCCCCCTTTCCAGCTCCTTGGAAGTTTCTTCCCCTCCTCCCACGTCCCTTCTCCCAGGAGGTTTGGGAAAGGGACTTGCTGGGCACCGGGTGCTCCAGGCAAAGCAGGGCAAGAAGGAGGAGGGCGTCAGAGGCCATAGGAAGAGCAGCCCTTGGGAAGGGGCCAGAGGGCCCCATGGGAGGGGAGGGGCTGCGGAGCGTTGGAGCTGCCCTGGCCCCTCCTGGCCAGCCCCCTCCCCAGATTCCCCACTCCACCCCACTCATGGAGTGTGAGGAGGCTGTCACCTGGGTGGGGACCGGATGACTCTGCAGGCAGGAGGGGGGTGGGAGGAGAGACCACCAAGGGCTGGAGCCGCGGTGGCCACTCCCAGCCAGCCCCCTCCCCTGGCTCCAGTAGGGCTGGGTGGGCACTGGCACCCAGGCTTGGAGGGACCAGCTCAAGTCCAGCTGCTCCCTCTGGTGGCGACACTCAGCAGGGCAGCCGCCCTTCCCCAAACGCACAACCTCTTTTGCCCGAAATTAACTCCTTGAGTACCCACCACTCACTTAGGGGTAGGGAGCCAACCCAAGGGAAAAAGGATGGTAATGATGCCATCCCCTTCCTTCAGCACTGACTCTGTACCACGCCGCGTCCTACAAGTTCATCTATTAGCTCGTGCTGACCTCACTACAGCCCTCCGAGGCTGATACATCATACAGCTATTTTACAAATGGAAATACTGAAGCGAGGGGTCAGGTCATTTGAGATCTAGGTTATCGAGCTGAGGCAGAGCCAGGACTCAAGCCCAGGCAGCTGGCTGCACAGTCTCCCAGTATGATTTTGCATTCCTCCTTTGGAGATCAGAGCCCATGGATACTGACTGTTTTCGTTTGGACTAAGCTTTTAGCAGTTTGGATAGATTCTGTTCATTAAATAAGAAAAATAAATAAATGATATTACCCAAACTGAAGTAGTAGTAATGATACTCACTGAGCCCTTACTATGCATCAGTCTTGACATGAATTTACTCAGTCCTCACAACAACCCCTTGAGGTGGGGAGTATTATTAACCCCCACTTTACAGATGGGAAAACTAAGGCATGAGGAGAACACACAGCCTCTCTTGGCACTGCTGCACACACCCAGAACACTTGGAGGACAAAGGACCTAACAGCACCAGCTAGGGGTCACCGGTCACGAAGCAGGGCACGGGGTGGGCCTGGCACGCGGGCTAGTCGGGGCTTTGGAGAGCACCGGGCAAAGCTGCGGGCAGATGAGGCCCAGGCAGCGTTGGGTCAGCTTCGGGTCGGCATACTCAGGACTGTTCCACTAACGCCTTTTACAGAAAAGTAGAAATGTGTGTCTTACTGGTAAAGCATAAATTATTAAACTTGAATATTTTTTTAAAAGTATTGAAAGTGACCACCCCTGACACCAGGTGGGGTCACTCAGATCAAGGTCATCCCTGATCCTCAGTTTGCCCATCTGTCAGATGGGGCAATCGTGTCACCCACTTCTCAGATGTGTAGAGAATTCCTCCTCTATCCGAGAGGATAGAGAGTGTTCAGAGCAGGGTGGGCACTCCCCAGCTTGGGGTGGATTCTGGATCCAAGGGCTTGTCCTGCACCTGAACATCTCTGTGATTTGAGCGAGGCCCTTCAGGTCTCTGTTGCCTCAGCCATAAAGCAGGGATGATAAACTTCTTTACAGGGTCTTTGAGAAAGATAGATAAAGAGCTTTGGGCCAGGGACACCGAGGGGAGACAGATGGGCCTAAATCCATACTCACAGAGCGTTCAGCCCAGCAGGGTTCTCCCTCCTGTTTATGATGAGAAGAATGACAAGGATGATGATGGTGACAGCTTACTTTTTTTTTTTTGTGATCACTTACTGTGTGCCAGGCTTTGTTCTCAATATTTTCCATGGATCATTTCAGATAATCATCTCGACCTCCCTCTGAGTTGAATAGTATTATCATTTCCATTTTACAGAAGGAGAAACTGAGCCACAGAGAGGTTAAGTCATTGGCCCATCACCCAGCCCGAAAATGGCTGGGCCTCTCCACTCTGGAGCAGCTGGCCTTGTGAGGGGAGGGACCCCAGCACTGGCTAGAGCTAGCCAGGTGCCCCCCTCCCTGCTGGCCCCCCTTGCTCCTCTGTCATCCCTCCCCAGGGCTACATAAGTATTAGGGTTATCATTAACCAGGGACTGCTGGTGACTCTGGGGTATAGGGCCACAAGGGGCAGAGGCTCATGAGGGAGACTTTTGAAGCTGCCGGGGTCCTCTGAGACCACGTGCACACGTGCACGTGCGCGTGTGTGTGCGTGTGTGTGTGTGTGTGTGTGTCAGGGCCACCTGTGCCTGGGTGTGAGCCGTCTACCTGCTCCTGATCTGTGTCCTGCAGAGTGTGGTATCTGGGCCCAGGTCTCTTTCAGGTGGGGGCAGTTTCTGTCCTTAACCACCAGAGGGACCTTGGGAGAATTATCTCCACTTTGCTAAACATTGGTTTGCAGATATCTAAAATGGAGTTAATAATAAGACAGCATCAGGGGGACTTCCCTGGTGGTACAGTGCTTAAGACTCTGAGCTCCCAATGCAAGGGTCCCAGATTCGACCCTTGGTCAGGGAACTAGATCCCCCATGCATGCCGCAACTAAGAGTTTGTATGCCACAACTAAGGAGCCCACGTGCCGCAACTAAGGAGCTCTTGAGCTGCAACTAAGACCCAGCGCAACCAAATAAATAGTAATAAATAAGTAAATACATATTTTTTAAAACGGCAACGTCAGGTTCAGAGACCTCTGAGCCTGGCCCAGGGTGATACATATTACCTTAGTGATTTCTCCATTTTGTAGGATGGGAAACCAAGGCACAGAGAGGTCTCTTGGGCTGCTCGAGCTCTCACAACTAGGAATGGCAGAGCCCAGAGCTGATGCCCCTTTTCTCTGTCACCAGTGCCTGGTAACCTGGTCTGCCCATGAGGACGCCAGGTGTGTTGTCCTCCAGGGGGTTTCAGGGGTCACATGAGCTCAGGGACGGGGAGGTTCTGGGCTAAACACATCAGCGCACATTTGGTGGTGTCTCCAAGTGTGTGAACACAGAGCGTGGGCCTGTATGTCTGCGACTGTATGACCAGCTGTGTGCCTGTTTGCCGGTGCATGAGGATGTGTGTGTGTGTGTGTGTGTGTGTGTGTGTCTGTTTTTATGGTTATGAAACCACAGCGTGGTTGGTTGTATGCCTGTGTCCTTGACAGTGTTTCTGCTTCTCCATGAGCCCACATAAATGTGTGTGTGCGTCTGTGTACAAATGTACACAGTTTTTGTGCCTTCACATGCCTGAGATTGTGTAGGAGTGCTGGCTGTGGCGGTGCCTTTGAATGTATTTATGTTTAGTGTGCATGTGTTGGTGTGTTTCTGTACAGACATTTGTCAGTATTGTCCTCGCCAGAGTGTGTATCTCTGTGACCATTTGTAAGAGTGCACAGTTGTGTGGTTGTGTCTTTGTGCCTCTATACGGGCATCCATCTCAATGAACACGTGTGTGTTTTGTGTGTATACAAATGTGTTTGTCTTGGTGTTTTGTGACTGGTGTGAGGAGTGCTGGTAAGTGTCTTTGGGCTTCTCTATGGGTGTGTCATTCTGGATTTGTATGTATGGACATGCATGTATTTGTCTTGTTTTGTGCCTGTTTATCCAGGTCTTTGGGTTTCTGTGTGTGTGTGTGTGTGTGTGTGTGTGTGTGTGGTGTGTACCCCTGGGGGACCTCACAGTCAGTAGAAGACAACCTATATACACGCTGAAATGCCCCCCAAATGGCCCTGTGGTGCTGACGAGGGCCCCGCAGGACCCTGGGGTCAGGGGTCAGTGGACTCCTAGGCACTCAGGCCAGGTGACCTTAAGCCCAGGCTGGGCCCAGTTCCCAGGGAGCAGCGTGGAAAATCATTGACACCCACCCTGCCCTCCCAGCTCCGAAGCCCTCTGAGGTGCGGCCGAGGCTCACGTGTGAGTGTGTGTGCGTGTGTTTGTGCCCCTGTAACACAGTCCTCCCTGCCGGCACCTCTTCTCCCCAGCTTTCCCCACGGCTGGCTGCCTACGATTCCTCCCTCTGAGCTGAGAGAGTTAACCTAGCGGGCCAGGGCGGTCTGGGCTGGGGGCCGCCCCCTGGCCCCCCTCCAGCCCGGCTCCAGTTACAGCTGCCGGTTGGGGAGGGTAGGGGTGGGGTGGGGCGGGGAGGGGAGACGGCTGAGGGCAGCGCGGCCAGCTCTGGGCCAGGGGGTCCAAAGTGCTCGGCCCCAGGGCACAGCCGGACGTTTGGGGCCTTCTTTCGGCAGGGGACAGCCTGACTGGGGTGAGCGTCCCCTGCCCCTCCCCTCCAGGCCTCACCCCTGGCCTGGCTGGGCCGCCTATTTTGGGAACAGGAGTGGCTTCCCAGGCAGGCCAGACCCAAGAGGAAGGGAGTGTGGTTGGGATGTTGGGGTTCTCCCAGGGGTGGAAGTGTGGGTGCAGCTCCTCCCTGCTCCTGCTGTGGCACGTGCACCCTGGCTGGGTGTGGGTTTTGGACACTCACGTGTGTAGGGTGTAGGTCGGGCTGCGTCATTGTTTGGGGGTGCAGAAGGCCCAGATAAGGAGTAGCGTGTGCCTGGGTCTCCACCCCATGTCCTGCTCCAACCAGAAGTTTAGGGAGTGGGCGTCGTCTCCATTCCAGCCCCACTGTGTGTGTGTGCGCGCGTGTGTGCATGTGTGCGTGCGTTCCTGCCCCGGCATCTGTCTTCTATCTCTCAGCCCCACTGGCCTGGGCCGCAGGTCACTCGCCTGGCATTGTCCGTTCATGAAAGATGTCACCCAGAGGCAGGCAAAGGGGACGTTTTCCCTGTTCTCATCTCTTCCAGGAGAGGAGAAGGGGTGGCCTTTCCCACGGGGGCAGCCCATGGCAATGTGGCAGCCCAGCCTCACCCGGGCAGCGTTGTGCGTGACCCCCAAGGGGGGGGAGGAAGGCTGTTGCCATGGTGGCCTGTGCGAGGCAAATTCCTCCAGGGTGAAATGGGAGATATTTATACCCAGGGTCAGGCAGAGTGGGCCAGCGGCTGAGGGCAGGAGAGCTGGGATATTACGGACACGGTGAGGCTGTGGTGTGCGGGCAGGTGGGCCCTTGGGCATGTCCTGGCTGCCTCTTCCCTGGCAGCGTGTCTGTCTCTCCACCTGGGTGGGGCAAGGCATCCAGGGTAGGCATGGGGAATCTGGGGCCTGCTGTGGGGACGGCCCTGGCCTGCGGGAGGTCCCTGTGGACTGTGTGTGTGTCTCACCCCTGTCCTTGCTGCTCTGTGACCCCCATGGTGTGGGTTGTTTTCGTGATGCTGTGTCCCAGTGAAGCAGGAGGGTGCCTCTGTTTCTCAGGGTGATCAACCTGGATGATGGACGCTTTTGAAATTAAGTCCCTGGACTGTCTCTGACTTAACAGAGACAGTCCCCTGAAGAGAGTTCAGGCCCCAGAGGTGGGGGAATGAGGGTACAGGTTTCCTGACCCTTGTTGTCCCCCAGGACAATGGCATCTCTCAGCCACATCTTGGTTCTTTGTGTGGGTCTCCTCGCCATGGTCAACGCAGGTGAGTCCGGGGAAGGCAGCCCACTACCCACTTCAGCCCCAAGGGTGGCAAGGGTAGGGGAAACCCTGCAAGAGAAACAAGTTGGAGACTCCAATCTGAACTGAGTCAGTTGAGGCACCAGGAAATTGGGGTCTCACGTGGGGTTCAGTTACAGGCTGGTATCTGGGGGAGGGGAGAGGATGCCCCAGGTCAGGCAAAGGTGGAGCGCGGGATGGAGGCCTGTGAATGACGGAATCAGAGACAACCTGTAATGAGACGGAGAGCTGAGGCAGTTAGGTGCCTGCTGTTCCACCCAGGACAGTGCAGCGGGGCAGCTAAGACCCAGAGAGGGTAGGCAGCCTGCTCAGGGTCCAGCAGTCCCCAGACTCTCGGCCCAGGAATGTGAAACCCCCAAAAGGTCTCGTTATGCCCCTCCTTGTCCAGGATCCCAGGAAGCATCCGACCCTGATTTCTTTCTCTCTTTCCAGAAGCGCCACAGGAACACGACCCATTCACCTATGGTGAGGGAGGGAGGGGCACCTTTCTTTGGGAGTTAGGGGGTGCTGGGCTGGGTTCGCCTGTCCTCTCCTCATTCCTCCCCTCCCCCCACCTCTCTCTGTTTCTGTCTCCATCTATCTCTAGACTCAGTGTTTATGTCTCTGTCATTCTCATTCTCTCTCTTTCTCTTGATCTGGCTCTCCGACTCTTTCTGTCTTGATCTCCCTCTGTCTCTGTCTCTCTGTTGGTCTCTGTCTATTTCATCCCTCTCTGTATCTCTGAATCTTTCTCCTTTTACCTCTTAGTATCTTATGGCTCATCCTCTGCTGCCACCTGCCTTTCTCCTCTCCCTGATCCTCACCATCATCCTTCCCCACTCCCTTGTCTCCTCCCTCCTCCTTGCCTTGCCCACCTCCTCCCCTCCCTTTTCTTTACATCCTCTCTTCTCCCTGATCCCCCTTCTCCCACATCTCTCCCTCTTCCTCTCATTGATTTCCTTTCCTCTTCCCCATCCTTCCTCCTTGCCCCTTCCTCCCCATTCTGCCCCTCTACCATCCTTCCTCCTCCCCTCCCTGCATTCACGCTCCTCCTTGCTGCCCACAGACTACCAATCCCTGCGGATCGGAGGCCTCATCATCGCCGGGATCCTTTTCATCCTGGGCATACTCATCATCTTGAGTGAGTACCCCTACCCGACTCCAGCCGCGAATCTGCGGGTGTCTGTCCCAACCCCGTCCAGTCCCCGCTCCGCCTCCAACCCCGCCCCTATCAGAGCCCTTGGCCCCGCCCTTATTTCTGCCCACCCCGGCCTCACGCCCTCGGCTCCGCCCCTGTTTATGCCCCTCCCCCATCGCTGCTCTAGGCCCCGCCCCTTCTACTCCGCCCTCGGCCCCGCTCCCGCTTCTATCACCGCCCCCGGGCCCGCCCCGTTTACGGCCCCGCCCTCGGCCCCGCCCCTGTTTCTGCCCCTCCCCTTTCCCTGCCCTAGGCTCCGCCCTGCCCCTTCTACTCCTCCCTCCGGCCAGCCGCGTCTCTATTGCAGGCCCAGCACCCCCCTGTCCCTGCCCCACCCTTATCCCCCCTCGCCGCTCCAGCCCTGGCGAGCGCGACCTCTGGCTCGCTGTGCCGCGTAGAGCGTAATCTCAGCGCACTCCTCCCCACGCCCCCACCCACAGGCAGAAGATGCCGGTGCAAATTCAACCAGCAGCAGAGGTAAGAAGCCTCTCTGGGCTCTCACTCATCTACTCCCGCTCTGAAGGAGCACTGGGGGTGAGGCCGGAAGTCCACTCAATCCAGAGCCAGAGAGACCCCTCGGCAAATATGTATCAAGCACCTACTACGTGTCCAGCCCCAAGCCAGGCCTTGGGACCAAGCCACGAATTAACTGCCCTCCCTGCCTGGCTGAGCGTCCGGCCCAGTGGGGGCGGTGGCGATGGGCTCCAACAGACCCACAAATATAAAATCACGAAGCGCCGTAAGTGCTGTGAAAGAAGGAGCCGCGGCGAAATGAGATCACCTCACTTGGCGGCCCAGTTTAGCTTGGAGTCCTGTTTCTAGCTCTCTGATTCATCCTTAAATAAAAATGTAAAGCCCAGGCAGTGTATGAATACCTTGTCGGTATTAAGATACTTGTAGATGTTATTATAAATAAAGGTAGTATTTATTGGGTGTGTCCCACGTGCAGGATGCTGTTTCATGATGTGTTATTTATCCCTCACACCATATCTATAAGGCAGGTGCTTTTATTAACCTCATTTTACAGATGAGGAAACCAAGGCACGGGAAGGTAGTCACACGCCCCAAATCGCTCAACTGCAAGGTGAAGGCTCTAGGTTTCTAACCTAGGCCGTCTCCAGGCAATCTGCCCTCAAGTCGCTTTGGCTATACCTCCTTTGCAAATTCTAGTTCCTTCTCCAGCATTCGGGGAGGTACTCTCTGTTACCGGCCTGGAGCGCCTCCTGCCAAACACTTAAACTGCTCCTGGGTGCACTGGATTTTCTGGCGGCCCGGAGCCTGCTCCTCGCCCATCTCTGGGTCTCAGTACACAAGTCTGTGAAATGGGGGCTGCACTGGGGTTTCCCGGGTGTAGCTGCCTCTCTCCTTTTCCATCCCCAATTCCTTCTGCATCTCTTTTCTCAGGACTGGGGAACCTGATGAAGAGGAGGGAACTTTCCGCAGCTCAATCCGCCGTGAGTTTGGGGAGACTTCGGGTGTTTGGGGATGCAAGCTGGTTCCAAGAACCCCTTTCCTGGTCCTCCGTGGAGGACGGAGGGCGCGTGGAGCGGGGGGCTTGATCTGAAACCCGAGGTCGGGGAGTTGCCCTGCTGTGCTCCCACCTTCCAGAGGAGCTGGGGTGCCCCTCCTGCTATCCGAACTCTATGTGTTCCCCCTTAGGTCTGTCCACCCGCAGGCGGTAGAGACACCTGGTGCGATGGAAGCCAGCCAGGTCCTGCAGCTCTGACTAGGCTGGAGGGGGGAGGGGGGAAGGAGGAGGGGGCGAAGGGCTGGGATAGGGGGCTTGGAGGGCTCTCCTGCCTCTTACCCTTTTCACCCACACAGAATTCCCCTGGCACCTGACGCCTCCCACCCACCTTCCGCGCGCCCACCTCCATCTGGACTGTCCTCTTTCCCAGCCCTGCCCCCACAGACTCCCGTCTGCCGCTCAGATTTCCAATAAAACGTGCTTTTCTGTCTTGACAGAGCGGTGTGGATCTGTCAGTCCCTTCGCGCGGAAAACCTGGGCGCCCCCTTGGCCCCGGCAGAGGGCGCCCCCACCCTTGGGGAAAGGGCGGGGACGTCGGCAGTGGGCGGGGGCGGGGGCGGGGGTGGCCGGGACGGGGGCGGGCTCTCCGGGCCCCCATTGGCTACGGCCCCCTCCACACCAGGGCTCCCCCCATCTCCCCCCGACAACAGTCCGTCCCGGTTCCAGCTGCTGCAGCCGCGCCTTCACCGCCTCGGCATCCAGCCGACCCCTGCTCCGGCTTGGCATGGCGACCCCGACCCAGGTCACCACAAAGGGTGAGCGTCGCCTGGGGAGACGGCGCAGGGGGGCTCCGGGATCTTAGAGCTTCGGAGAGAGGCTCTGGGGAGATTCCAGTACTGGAAGGGGAGGGGAATGGGGAAGGGGATGTCCCTTCCTACCATGGGCGGAGGCCCCTGCAGTGCACCCCTTGGCACCCCTCCAGGCCTCTTGGACACCTTCTCCCGGTGGTGTCGTTCCTGTGCGGGACCCGTGGTTGGAGAGCGGCAGTCCCCGGAGAAAGGATGCTCGGACCGGTAGCTATAGCAACCGGGTGGCTGGTCCAGCACAGCGGTGGTAGTGGACTCGAAGAGATGGGCTTCGAAGGTGGGAGCGGGTGGATCTGCAGCCACAGAGGTTCTCGCAGATTTCAGGGGGGTAAGGGGAGGGGGTCCGTATGCCTCTTTTTTTCCTAGTGCTGGCACCTACGGTGGGTGTTTCCTGAAATCTCTGACAGGCAGGTTCAGTGGGAAGCAGGGAGAAAGAGGGAAACATAGGAGCTGGAGGAAGTGAGAGAGAGACAGAGAGAGACAGAGAGCAAGAGAGAGGGAGACCGAAAGGAATACAGAAAGAGACTGACAGAGAGCCTGAAAGAGATAGAGACTGAGAGACAGAGGGACTGAGGCAACTATGGAGAGGGAGGCATAAAGACACAGAGGGGGAGAGAGAGAGAGAGATGGCCCCACAGCGTGAGAGGGAAATAGAAAAGAGAAGGGGGGGTGGCACAGGGTGGGGCCCGTACCACTGCAGTGAGCCCCCATGGGCAGGGATGGGTGTCAGGACCCTCCTTCCCAGCCCACATTCGGGGTGTTGTCTGGTCCGAAAGGTGCACTTGGGTGTGCACACAGATGCCCCTCTCTACCTCCATCGCCCACACAGATATTTACATTTCACACCATTAGCCCAATTGTGCACCCCTGAAATACTGACCCCCCCAACAGCCCCCTTTCTTGAGCCTGCTTCTGCAGATGGGCAAGGGGAAGGATGCTTCCATGGTGGGGGAGAGGTGGGCAAGGGAGGGTCTCTTGCGCTGAGAGCAGGGCCAGGGGAGAGGCCAGCGGTGCTGAGGAACCTCTGGCAAGTGAAGGGAACCCCAATTCCACTCTGATCTCTCCTCCCCTGCCCGCTTTCCTGGGAGGTGGGGGCTGCTGCACTGAGCCATATCTGCAGAATTTGAAGCAGGGCGGGGGGGTGGGGGTGGGGGGGCGGCTGCAGAGGCTGGAAGCCACCCTAGGGAGAGGGGGCAGGGCTGAGGCAGCAAGCCTGGCGGGAGCCTAGTGCTTCCTTTCGCGGAGATGGTGGTTAGCAAGATCGATGGCAGCAGACGGGCAGAGGTGGGAGGACAGATGCCTCCACCTCCCCACACCCTTTCTCCAGTCACAGCAGGAGAGGGGACCACAGGTCTTGGGAAACCCCGGGGGAGGAAATGCATGTTGCCTGTTGCAAACCACTTAATGAAATTAATTAATGAGTGAATGGATTGTTTTGGGGCGGGGGATGGCTCCCGCATCCCCCCATCCCCCACCCCATCAGAGAGCAGGAGGGTGTGTTGGGGATGAACAGAAAGAAGGAGCAGAGCTGGGCCTGGGTCCCTATCCCTAAGAAGGACCCTCCGCTTGGCCAGAAGCCAGTCCTGCAGAGGCAACAACAGGAGGTACAAAGGGAGCAGAGGCAGTCAAGTTTGGCCCCAGAGTTAGAAACCCAACCCCCAAGTCCCACACAGGACCCTATCCAGCCTGGGGTACCCAGACCCATCAACTGTCTTCACCTCTCAAGATGCCCCAGTTGCCATAGTAACCACCTCCTTCCTGATGTCTCCTTGGCAACTGGCCAGGAGTGGTGCACATTCCTTCTCCTGCCTCCTGGCTCCACCCTTAGCTCAGTCTCGTCCTGAGGACTCAGATTGCTGGGGCAGCAGAGACCAGAAGAGGAACTTCTGCATGGAGCAAGGAGCACCCAGGGAGGAACCAAAGAGGACTCTGGGGCAGGCGCTCACCCACTGGGCTTCTGTGATGGTTTGGGGAGGCAGGATGTGTGGAAGCACAGGAGACAAAAGCAGGATAATTCAACTGCTCCACCTCTGATGCAGTCTCCCTGCAGCCTAGTAGGAGCTCATTCATTCATTCATCCATCCATTCATTCATTCTAGAAAACTTCTTTGAAAAACTTTATAAATGCCAGGATTAACAGTAGAGATGAATCCAATAAATTTACTCTCCATCTGGTGGGGGAGCTAAGACAGAGCACAGATGGCTCTAAACTAATGTTTCCCCATCCTGATGCTTATGAGTACCACCTTCATGATTTTTGCCCTGTCCAAATGTTCCCCACACTGATATTTACTTAACATTTTTCCTTCAAAGAATTAACTTTTAAAAAACTTTGTTAGCTTTATTTTACACTGCCACCACAAATGGAAAATCAGGAATTTTTTTTTTTTTGGTCTTACACTGAAGGCAAGTATTAAAATGATCTTAAACAGGTGACTTCACTTTTCTGAGCCTCAGTGTTCCTCTTTTGTGGAATGAGGATGAAGATAGCGCCTATATCAGAGAGCTGCTGTGAAGATAACTGTGTTAATGTCTGTAAAGTGCTTAGAAGAGAGCCTGGCATGGACTCGGTGCTATCAAATGCTGCCTAGATAAATAAATAAAGGAGAAAAGCAAATAACGTCATAACAGCCTATTTAGATATTGTTGCCTGCTGAAGGCCCCGAACCCAAGGCCTGTTTCATCTTGGGAGATTAACAAGGGTTGGAAAGTGTAGCATCACATCAGCTCCTATTTAAGACTTGCTCTTTGAAGATTGGACAGGGAACTGAGAAGGGTGAACTTACACACTGTGAGTCAGTGCTAATCAGAGTCTTGCCTGGGTGCCACCTGCATGAGTCAGTTTAAACGAGCGTATACTGTGGTAACAAAAAATCTCAGTGGCTTCTCACAATGAAGGTAGATTTCTCATTTAGCCTATATGGCCACCACAGGTCAACTGGGGGGTGTCTACTCACCAAAGAAAACTGGAGAAGCCACGATCTTGAGCATTCGTATCACCAGGCCAAAGGCAAAAGAGAGCTCTTGCGCGGGCACTTAAATGCTGCAGAGTTCATTGGCCCGAATGAGTCATGTGTCCCCCTTCCCAACCTCAAGGTGGCCAACCTTCCTGAGCCTGGATAGGGGAAGAACATTAATGACAACATCTGGCATCTCCCTGGCGCTCCTGATACCCCACCCCCACCCCCACTCCCCTAGTGGTGCTTGTTTTGCAGAATCGTGCTCTAATCAGGGCAGAGTGTACTAAAAGCTGTCAGAGGAATTAGGGAAGCATCAGGGTGGGTTTCTTGAATGGGAAGGATGTTCTGAGCTCTCCTGAAGGGGAGTATAGTTTGAGACAGGGAGGTGGGAGTTGGGGAAAAGTAAATCCACAGACACGCAGACACACACACGTTTTATCCACATGTTAACGTTTTTGAAATCAGAGTGAGTCTTCCAATGGATGAGTATGTTTTATGTGGTACAGCTACACACATATGCGTGCCTATACACACACACTGGGAAGGTTATTACAAAGTCAATTTTGAATCTTTAAATTGATGTCTGAGAAATAAGTAATATAGGATATATATATATATAATATAGTATGATATAATATAATATAAAATTTTGGACATCTCTGCTCTGCTGGATTTGGTGTCAGGAGCAAGTGGATGAGAGCCGTAGCCACAGTGCCTGCCTTTTGGGGCTCTCAGATGGCTGAGAAGTTTCAGGGAGTGTTCAGGGGAAGCTGATACACTCAGCAGTCCACTCAGCAGTGGGATTGGAGTCTCAGCATCCTATGCAAACGGGAGTATATATGTGTATTTCAGGAAATGAGTCCATGCTTGCATTAGACCTCCACGGGGGGCTAGGACCAGGACCGCCATGTATGGTTAGGTAGGTTGTACACTGTACAAGGGAAGGTATCGACCAATGGAATGAGTGGGGGCTGGAATCCAGCCTATGCTCCTCTCTTTAAGCTTCGTGTCTGGCCATGAGGCCATCATCCAGAGCAAGAGGTCTCATTATCTGATTTCTACACAGAAACCACTGGACCAGTGGCCCCATCAGGATCCTCAAAAATGTTAAGAAGCTCATTGTTGAAATGTTTTTCCCCCTCTCTTTCTTTCTCTGCCTCCTTGCCACAGTTCCTCAGGAACCTGACCCATTTTACTACGGTGAGTGGCAGATGCTGTGCTGAGGGTACCCTGGGGCTGGATGGAGGGGTGGCTCTAGATCCCCATGGGTCACTGCTGAAGTGGCTTCAGCTATGGCTACACGCTACGTGCTGGCCCACTGGCCATGTGACCACGTGGATATAATTCACATCAGCTGGGCTCATGGAGGGCCGAGTCAGACTTGGGGAGGGGGTACCCTCTATGGACCCTCTTTAGGCTTCACCAGCCCTCTGGGCTGGCGCACTGGGATCATCAGAGAAGCAAACAACTCTGACACCAGGCTGTCGGGATTTGAATCCTGGATTATCCACTCACTAGCTGTGTGGCCTTGAGCAAGAAACTTTGCCTCTCTGGGCCCTTCTGTAAATAAAGAATAGTAATGGTTCCTACCTATAAGGACTGTGGGAAAGAGTTACTCGGATGATATCATTAAATCTTCCCCACAGCACTGAAGCTCAAAAAATGACTCCAGGTCTCGCAGAACTGACCCCAGTTCTCCCTCTAAATACCCTCCTGCCCTCTCCCATTGCTCACTCATACCGCTTCTCCATACGCCAAGTTCTTTCCTGCCTCAGGGCCTTTGCACTTACTGTTCCCTCTGCCAGAATACTCTTCCTCTAGCTCTCCACACAGCTCCTTTTTCTTCTTCAGGCCTCAGATCAAATAATGACTGTCTACTAGGAGAAGCCCTCCTGACTCCCCAGCAAGAGGGGCCACACCCACATCTAGCCATGGTCACATGACTGAGGTTTTTGGTTTTCCTTTGTTTATCACAATATGAACGACAACTCCCTGAGGGCAGGGGCCTGGGCTGCTGCTGGTACGGAGTGGTTGCTTTATAAATTAATATTTTTATAAATGTTTACTACAGCATACTAGACAAGAATAATTCTTATGAAGGAAAATAAAAGAAAGAATGAGATTAGGAAATGTTGAGGAGAGCATGGAAAATTCTAAATGAGACAGTCAGAGAATGTGTCACTGACATTTGAATAAAGCCCAGAAGTTGGTAAGGGAGGGCTATTTGGGGGAGGAGCTTTCAGGCAGAGGGCCCAGCAAGTGCAAAAGCCCTGAGGTAGGACCAAGCCTGATAGGCTCCAGGAACTGCAGGGAGACTGGTGTGCCTGGAGTAGGGGATTGAGGAGGAGAGTGGAGTGGGATGAGCTCTGAGAAGGGATAGGAACTAGATGGTACAGGGCCTCATGGGCTGTGGGGAGGACTTTGGCTTTTCCTCGCAATGCAGTGGAAGTTGGAGGGGGTGGAGTGGTGTGCTCTGAACTCAGGGAGACCCTGATCAGACTCAGGTGTTAACAGGATCCCTATGGCTGGAGGGTTGAGTAGGGGGATGGGTGACAGAGAGACCACAGAGAAGGTTGTTTGCTGAAAAATATACATACATATATATATATGCGCAATAGAGGAAGTTCATATCTTTATCTATATCTATGGCCAAACAATCCAGAGAAGGGTAAGAGAAGGGTAAAGAGGAGAGGTTAAGGGGAGCGCCCAACGCCCAAGGCCATGCACTTGATGCTCACATTGACCTACTGGAGGAGCCTGCAGCCTTGAACCCAGGCCAAGGCTCCGGGGGAGCTGAGGTGCTGCCCCCACTTTGATGTCCTCCCATATCTTCCCCAGACTATGACACTGTCCAGACCGTGGGCATGACTCTGGCCACCATATTGTTCCTGCTGGGCATCCTCATCATCATCAGTAAGTGTGACCCCTTCTTGGGCTCCAAAGCCCTGGGCACCTGCAGTTCCCCTGCTGGCTTTTGTCCAGACCCTTATGTCCTGTCTCCTTGTTCTGTTCTGTCTCTGTCCTAACAGGCAAGAAGATGAAGTGCAGGAAGGCGGACTCCAGGTCTGAGAGGTCCGGCAGCAGTGGGGAGAGACGGGGAGGGGTGGGAGCGGCCTGGGGCGCAGGGGGGCTGCCAAAAAAAAGGGCCCCCGGGGCCTGCCAGGTGTTTCCCAGAAAGCCTGCGCAACTGAGCCTGTTTATGCTTTTCTCTCTCATCTTTGCTTCCACAGCCCAACATGCAAATCCTGTAAGTCGGAGCTTCCCTCCTCAGGTGAGGGTGTGAAAGGGTGTGGTTCTGGGAAGATGGGTGGGAGCAGGGAGGGGAGTCAGAGGGGAAACTGCACTGGATGTCCCTAAGAATGGGGCCACCAACGATGGAGCTGAGACCCTGCCGATCAAACATGTTAAAACATGAAGTTAGCGGGATGTGAAATGTCCTCAAGGGTCCTTGAAACAGCCCAGAAACAAGTACCTAATCTCGTAAAAGCAAGGATGAACTAATTCCCCAGATGAGAAAGCCACAGCCTGTGGAGAGAGGGGTCCACATGGGAAAAGGATGTTGGTAGTCAGAATGAAGGCAGAGTTGAGCACTAGAGAAGGCAGGAAGATAGAATGTTTTCCAGACTTTAGTGTTCAGTTGGGAAGATCTAGGATGAAATGACTGAGAAAAAGGGAGGAAGGAAGGAAGGAAGGAAGGAAGGCTTGTGAATAATTGTATCAAAAAACAAAAAGAGAGACATATAGAATACAGGTTTTAAAAATTGATATTGGAGGGCTTCCCTGGTGGCGCAGTGGTTGAGAGTCCGCCTGCCGGTGCAGGGGACCCGGGTTCGTGCCCTGGTCCGGGAGGATCCCAACATGCCGCGGAGCGGCTGGGCCCGTGAGCCATGGCCACTGAGCCTGCGCGTCAGGAGCCTGTGCTCTGCAACGGGAGAGGCCGCGACAGTGAGAGGCCCGCGTACCGCAAAAAAAAAAAAAAAAAAAAAATTGATATTGGAAAAGAGACAATAGAGGAGAGAATATGAGTGTGAGGATGGAAAGATGGAAAGTATAGGATAAAGAGTGAAGAGAATGGGGGTGTAAGAGGAGGTGAAGGGTGCAGGAGGGGATAGAGGAAGAGGGGGAAGGAGTCCCTAGAAGGGGTGGAGAATGGAGGAGGAGGGTGGAATGTGGGAGGGGGTGGGGTGAAGGGGGGGTGGAGGGGGGGGGGGGGGGGGGGGGGAGGAGGGGGAGAGTGAGTGCAGGTGGATAGATGTAGGATGTAGGAGGGGGGATAAGCATGTAGATGAAAGATTGTGACTCCTTGGGGGTGTTAATTTTAATTATGTAAAAATATCTCGACCTGTTTTTAGTGGAACTGTGTCCTTTCCAGGGACTTTTAAAAAATCAGAGATGGGACACTCTGCCTCTTATAAAGTTTTTAGAACTAAAAAAATGGGCCTTGGGGTACTCTATATTTGGAGGATTTGATGTGGAATTTCATGTGTTTAGTTTCATGTTTATTTAATGAGATTTAAGAACATTAATGGGTCACTTTGTGGATGATGGGGGGGTATGGTTGGCCTGGGTACCTGGCCACAGTCTAAGAATATGTACAGAATTCTCACCCATTCCACTTGAATGATGGGCCCAAGTGGGTGGGAGACATAGGAATTCCTGTTGTATCCTAATGTCCCAGAGATGGTGTGCTGGAAAGGAATGGGGGTATAGGAGGACGCTGGGAGCGTGGGAGAGGGTTGGAGACTCCTTTTCTGGTGGGGGGACACCACAGAAAAGCCCAGGCTGGGCCAGGGGTCTTCGGCCTCATCACAGATGTGTTCCTCTCATGACAGTGTCCTGTGGGACAGGACAAAAGCCCCAAAGGTGTCCCTCTATGGACCAGATATTAGGATGCAGGGAGGCAAGACAACTTCCCAGGGCTAGCTCTAGGGTGACAGTCTGGAGACCTGACTTCCATGAAGGGGGCCTGGCAGTGTGTGGCGGGGGGCTGCCTCCACCCCTCCTGCTGCCCACTGGAGCTCCATGGCTCTCTCTCTCTCTCTCACTCCCTCTCACCCCAGCCCCTGGAGGTGGCGGCGTGTAGACCAGCCCTGGGCACCTCCACTACTGTCCCTGCCTGATTGCGGGAGCCTGAGGACCAGGTGGAGGCGGTGGGGACCCCAGCCTTGCCCAGGGAGCGCTCCCCTGAATGAGCCGTCCCACCTACTCCAAGGCTGGAGCCGCTGCACCTCCCCAGGCCTTGGCAATTACGACCCCCCAAAGAGCCCGTCTGCATCCCAGACCCAGGGACTCAGGCCTCCAGCTCCTGGGGTCCCGGGAGTCCACCCTCAGCCCCCCACAATCCCTGTGTGCTACTCCCCGGCACCTCCCTGCTCCCCGCACCCTCAGCGTCTATGTCTTGAGCTTAATAAATGTGCATTTGGTTTTTCCCCCTGTTCTGTCTGTGTGTTCTCATCTGTGGGGACCAAACTGGGGAGGGGACAAAGCTGAAGCTGGGGAGCTGTCTCCCCCATCCCCAGATTTTCCCCCTTCCTCTCCTTCCCCTCCCGCAGCGCCACAGTGGCCGCCTTCTCTCTCAGAGCCCCTCAAGCTTCCCTTCCCTCCCTCAGCGCCACCGCCCCCAGCTGCCCCTTCCCTTCTCATCCCCAGACCCCAGAGTAGACCCCTCCCCCGCTCTCCCTCCCTCCCCACAGGAGCCCCACCCCGCCCAGACCTGCCCGCCCTGCTGTTCCCCACCCCCACCCTCCCCTAGGCCGGGGGGCTGGAGGCCTCCGCCCAGCCTCTCACCCCAGCCCCCCCATAGCCCTCAACGTCTCCCCCTCCTGCTCCCACCCCGGGCTCTGAAGCCAGGAAACCCAAGAGGAAATGACTGAGCCCGTCTCGGTCCCCGCCCGCCAGCGCTCCCCTGGCCACACCCTCCGCCTGGACTCAGCCACTGCAGCTGCCCTCTCCGCACGAGGCTGCCGGCGGCTCGGGACCACCAGCTCTGACGTGAGTCTCTCCTCCGATCTTCCTCCGTCCGCTCCCCTCTGCCCAGGGGCCGGGCTCAGGTGGGTAGAGAGCGATCTTCTTGGCGCCTCTCCGCGCCCCCCCCCCCATGCATGCTCCCTGTCCCTCCGGCTCCCCAGTACCTCCGCGTGCGGCATTGCTTCTCTCCTCCTGCCTCAGTCTCCCCAGCTCGCCTCCATCCCTCTCACCCTCCCAGATCTGCCCAGCATCCTGCTCTATTGTCCCTGCAGGGAGGCCCCTAACACCAGCTCACTTTTTCCTCTGAGATCAGGAGCACATTACTCACTCTTCCTCTTTCCCCCTCCTAGCTGACTCCTCTGCTCTGAGGACTGCCCCGAGGGAGGGACCGAGGTCCTCAGATCTCCTCCGGTGCCCCAGATCCCTCCCCTCGCCCTGCACGGTCAGTCCTGCCTAGCCCTTGAGTGCTTCTCTGCCTCAGCCCCGTTCAGTGGCTGCTACTTGAAGCCTGCTTTAGTCTGATGCTTCTTGTTTTCTTTGGGGACCTGCAGAGGGAAAGAGGGAGTGACTGCTGGCGATCCCCACTCCTGAGACCCTCCCCCTGGCCCTCCTTCCCGCAGCCAAAGACCCTGGCAGGGGTCTCTGAAGCCAGAGGTGCCTGCTCAGGGTAAGGAAGGGGGCTGCAGGGTCCCCGCGGGTTGCCCTGGGCCTGCCTCACTGACATCATGGCTGACCCCCGCTCTGGCTTGCTCTAGATGTCGCCCTTTGGTCACCTGTGTCTCCTGGTCTTCGTTGGCCTGATTCTCCCCACCAGAGGTAAGGCCCAGCCCTGACTCCACCCTGCTGCAGAGCCCTCAGCCCCGCTCCGGGTGCATGTGTTGCTGGGTGGACGGCTGGTGACTTTGGACGCTCTGTCCTGTGTCCTCAGTCCCCTCCTGAGCTGGCACCAGGAAGTGGGGGCCCCAGTAAGGGGGCCAAGGTTACACCCTGTTTAGATACCTCAGACCTGGGTGGCTGCTTCCAACGAGTCTGGCCAGGGCCTGTCCTGCTGAGCATCCTCCATTTCACCTCCAAGAAGGACTCAACGGAGTTTGATTTGGCGGGGAGATGGGTGTCGGTTTCCTACTTGGCAGCCAGGAACGCCGGACTCACAGCAGAGCAGCTCCCTGGGATCCCCGGGTGATATATGATTAGGGAAAAGGGTGAGCTGGGGCCAGTCCAGGAGTTGGAGATGTCTCACCCTTACCTGAGAAGTGTTTTCTGAAGGCAGTCCCTGTGGTGGGCCTTTGCAGGTGCTTTCTACACGACAGGTGCTTGTTTCAGCTCCAGCTCTACTCTGTGATGCTGTTGTCATGACCATTTTACAGATGAGGAAACTGAGGCTCAGTGAAGGAAAGTGCCCTGTGCCAGAGGCTAGTGAGTGGAGGGGCTGGGCTACAACCCTGGAACCCAGAGCAAACTCTGCACTGAAGCTGCCCCATTTCTCTTTGATGAAATGGGTTTCCTGTGTTCATTCAGTCATTCAACAAGCGTTCACTGAGCAGATCCTATTCTAGGCACTGGGGAAACAGCAATTGCATAAAACAGGAGCTCACATTCTAGCTGGAAAGACACACAGTAACTGACACATCAGTAAATTATATAGTATGCTAGAAGGTGAAAAGTGCTATAGAGAAAAACAGAGGAGAGAAATGAGGATTGTTTAAATAGGGTGATCAGGTAAGACCTCACCAGAAGGTGACATTTGGGCAGACACTTGAAGGAGAGGAGGGAACAAGCCAAGCAGGTATGTAAGGAACGAGTGCTGTCTGGAGAATGTGAGTGACAGCAGGCAGGCCAGGGTTCAGGTTCGGGTTTGGGTTAGGGTTAGGGTGGGAAGGGGCAGGGTGGTAAGAGGAGAGGTCAGAGAGGTGACAGGGGACCGGGTGGAGGGGGGACTTATGGGCCAGGTGAGGACTTTGGCTCTTACTAGGAGTGAGATGCAGCCAGAGGAGGGCCCTGATCTGACTCAGGGGTTCACAGGCTCCCTCTGGCTGTGTGTGGGGAGCAGACTGTAGGGGCGGGATGGGAGCAGGGAGACCAGGGAGGAGGTTGTGTGATGGTCCAGGAGGGAGAGCATGGAGGCTGGGCCAGGGTGGGGGACAGTGGCTCTATCCAGCACTGACTGCATGTTAAGCAGTGCGGGAGACCTCCATCTCATTTCACCCTCTCTACGGTCCTGAGTAGTAGATTCAAGTATTATCCCCACTTTGCAGATGAGGCAGCCGAGGCTCAGAGAGGGGCTTCACTTGCTCCAGGACACACAGCAAGGAAGTTATTGGGAACAGATTTTGAGATCAGGGCCCTGGCTGAGTCTAGCACCTGGGCTCCTAGGCTAAACTGCCTCTCTCACCCCACAAGGATGGGTACGGAGAGGCAGCTGCAGGTCGGGTGCTGGGGTATTAGCATTTCTTAAAACACTTCCACCAAAGCTGATCACACATCTGTCTGCTGCTCTGCCAGCAGACAGGACTTCCTGGTTATCCCCCAAAGTTTCAGGAGGGAGGGCAGGGTAGGGGTTTCGGTGAGAGAAGGGGGACCAGAGGCTCCTCCCTGACTTCTCATCCTTGACTTCCCAGGACAGACATTGGAGGAGGCCACATCCATTACTCTAGCAGACCCAGTCACTGAGAACGTTCATGCCCTGACTCCAGCCCCAGGTGAGGAAAGAGGGACAGGTCTGTCAAGATCCTGTCATTGCAAATAACAATGGCAACAAAAACCTCAAACTTGGACCAAACGGGATTGTTTGGATTTGTGTAACTGAAAAGTCCAGGGGTAAACCTTCAGGCATGGCTCCGTCTAGGCTCAGATTATGCTATCAGGAACGTGTCTCCATCTCCCGGTTCTGTTTTCTCTGTGATGGCTTCATTTTCAGGCAGATTCTCCTTTTATGGAGCAAAGATGGCCCATAGAGACCTGGAGCTTCTATCCTACCTGCTAAGAATCCAGAGGAAAGAGAATTTCCCCTTCCCCGATCCAGCAGATGCCCCAGAGCTGAGTGTCAGTGACCAGGCTCAGGTCACACACCCACCTGTGAGCGGATCATTGTGGCCACAGGCATAGAAAACTCATTGGCCAGACCCGGGTCTCGTGTTTAACCTCCAACAGGGCTGGTGCCAGGCCCATTGAACCAAGTGGACTGACAGTCAGGGAAGGATGGTTCCCCAAAGGAAGTTCAGGGGGCTCTTACCAGACGCGGGTGTGTGCTGAGTAGGGGAGACATCTGTGGGAGGGGAGGGCCTGAGGCCAGGGAGATACTGGCATCCCATCTGGGCAGTTAGCAAATGGCTGGATTAATTCGTTTCCATGACATCAAATTTGAGTTGCTATGGAAATCCCCCTGTACCTCCAGCATGCACCTTCTCTGCATCTTCTCTCTTTTCTCTTCCTGTTTCCGGACTCCAGACACCTACCAACCAGAACTCCAGCCCACGCCTCAGACTTCAACCCTGCAGGCTGGTAATGAGTTGGGCAGGGCAGAGGGTGGGGAGGTGGGCCTGGGACAGACATTGTTGCCCCTCTTCCTCTGACACTCTGGGTCCTTGATTACCCATTTCAGTCCCCCAGTGCTGAATCCCCAGGTTTACTTTGTCGTGGGGCAGCCAGCTAACTCCATTCACTTCTTGTAAAAATTGTTTGAAATCATGAAAAATAACATGCCTATAGAAAAATATAAAAACCATAAGTGTACAACTTAAATTACTCTAAGTTGAACCCATGTAACCATGAGCCAGGTCAAGGAATAGAGCTTTGCAGACACCCCAGAAACTCCCTGTATGCCAACCCCTTCATTTTCTTCCTTTTATCTCTTTATCTTTTTCCTTTTTTGAATTTTCAAATCATTTCTTTCACCCTTTCTTGGAATATAACACCATTCAAAAAGCGTTCACCAGTTTTGTCCATTAATGTTTAGTGGTACATAAACACGTTCTCCTTGGAAATAAAAAGAATATCGCAGGTAAGATGAAATCCCTTCATCCACTCCCCATTCTCATTCTCTTCTCCCTCTCTGAGAGGTCCCCACTGTTAGTGTTACATTGGGAGTAGTTCCCCAGTGATACTGCATCACGTGTGTATTAACTGGGGAAAACATACTAATTGGGAGGTGTCGTTGTGGGAGCTTAAGGGTACTGTATGACTGTTGTTCAGCAACTTGCTTTTCTTCCCCATGCAATAATGTGTTTGGAAGCTCTTCCCACAGTCCTATAGAAGCATCCATGTGGGTCTTTTTCACTGCGTGGCATTCTGCAGGGTGCCTGTGCACAGCTGATGAAGCCATGCCCATCTTGATGAACATATTGGTTGCTTCCAGTGCTTCTTGTTGCTTGCAGTGCCACAATGAGCAAGCCTGTCCCCTCCTCCTTGAGCACTTATAGCACAAATTAAGTGCCGGTCATGGTTCTAAATATTTCACCCTCATTCACTC